GGAGAGGCAGGCTTGGAGGGTCGCCTCCAGGTGCTGAGGTTTGGGGAGGGGGTGGCTTGGATTAACCCCTGCTGTGCATCCCCTTCACCCTGGCTGCCCTCCCCGGCCCACCGCCCCCCTCGTCCGCGGCAGCCTCCTTTGTGCCTGCCGCGTCCTGCCAGGCAGGTGTCAGAGCCCTGAATGCGGGCAAAGGCCCTGCTGATGGATACCACAGATGGAGCGTGGAAATCGGTCGAATAGGCCTCAGCCACAGGCCATTTCTTAGGACCCAACAAAAGCCTCCAAATAAGTCAACAAAAATCCCAAAGATCACAAAGAGAAAGTGTCATTTGTCATTTACTGTGGGTTTGTGTGGGGGTAGCGGCCCGGCTGCACTCCTCCTTGCCTGCACCCGAGTAAACACGAGGGAGGTCACTCGCGTCTCTTCGGGCGTGAAAGGCTGCGGGGATCAGGCAGCCGTCGGCAGCCCCGTGGTGCCCGCGGCCTCCCGCCGCAGAACGCCCTGGTTAGCCCCAACGCGGGGGATGCCCCGGCCACAGCCCTAAGTAATAGAGATGTGGCTCGAGGAGGAGAGCCTGTGAAATTAATCTTGCATAAATAAAGAAATGGGAAGATCCGGGGAGGGTAGCTAGCTAATAAAACTGCCACCAGAACCCTCCCTGGCCTCTGGTATATTGGGTCTTTTGTCTTATTTTAGCGAGATCTGCGGCTAGAGAGAATTTATCTAGGGCAGACCCCAGGCTGTTACACTTAGAGGAAGAGGCTGTGTAATATTTTATTAAAAATTTCACAGTGACTGAAGGCTTGCCAGAGAAGTTGTGCCTTCGCAGGTTGCAGAAAGATAACCTCTCTGCCTGTGTTTGTCAGGTGTGCGGTGCTGCAGCTGTAATGTATGGGTTTTAAATGGTTGTCATGTTTCTGTTATTTAATTATTCAAATGAAATGTCTTGCTGAGAGGAAGAACAACCCACAGAATGACCTCTTGTGCGTTATTTTGTTGTTCGGTTTTTGCCCCGACGTGTCTATTTATGGTGTTTGGAAAAGGGATGGTTGCCAAGCTCCAGGTGACCGAATGCCTACGACACTGGGCAGAGGTTTTTTTTGCATATCATGGTGATAACTGGCATGCAGCATTTCCTCAGGCCACCAGACAGGTCACGAGGGGCTACGGGACAAATAATTGCTCTTTAATTCTGTAATTTCTTCTTTAATTAAACTTCATGGCTCAGCTACTGGTAGTACTTTTGGCTGCCTCTCCCATTTTGAGCTGTGCAGTAAGGGGCGTACCGGTGATCCCGAGGGGTCTGGCTGGGGATCTCCCAGGACACTGGTGAGTCTCCTTCTTTCTCCTATTTATAGCTCGAGGGGTTAGAGTATTAAGATCATTAGGACAACTGTAAAGGTTAGCAATATGCATGTTGTGTGTCTGTAGAGGTGATGGAGGTAGAAATAACCCAGCTAAAATCTGACCACCTTTAACTGTGCCGAATAGTATCTTTTTATATCATGGAAAGCGGTGGATCTATTAGTGAGATACTGCTTAGCAAAAGGGTGATACAGTATGGCTGTTGAGCATATATAAAATAAATACTGCTTTTTTAAAGGCTGAGGTGTGTCCAGTTTATGTGCTTAGCCAACACTCTGATCGGCTTCTCACCTATATAAAAGTCTAATAATGGTATTTTAATAGGAAAAAATAAGAATAAAATCTTCCTTGAAACTAATAATATTTAAGAACACTTTGTAAGAAATAAAAATAGTGCAGTTTGTAGTACAGACAAGTAGCTATCATTTGAGATTACATTTGTCTGATTTTAATACTGCAGATCAGACAAGACAAAAGAACTCAATGTTTTCAATAAAGCTGCACATAGCAGCCAGCCCTGGCAAAGGGTAACACCAAGGAAATCAGATAGATATGAAAGCCATTTCATTTGATACAAATTTTCTCCCTACTTTAATTTTATTACTTTCTCTCTAAATGTTTGCACTTGATTAGACGTATTGTCCCGGACTCTTAGATACTTTGTTCAGTTTTTTCTGACTGGTTTACCTTTGTGCCTTTCATATACTGCTTAATGAAATGTAAACCTAAAACGAAAATGAAATTAAGTCAGTATTTCAGTTCTGTGTTCTCATTGCGGCATGAATGCAATGTGCAGGGAAACATCACAAGATTTTGCTAAGTCTTTGTAAAACATTTTTAGAAAGATCATTATAGGCCTCCTGGTACTTCCCACCCAGTTGGTGAGGGAATTCACTTCAGAAATTTAGCGATAAATATCCACTTTAAATTGCACAGTTTAAGCTGACTTTTTATAGGCATATATGTAGATTTGTTTGAAGAAGTTCCATACATACATGTAGAGTCTGAAAGAGTATTGAAAGAGTTCCTGAGATTTGAGGACTTGATTTTTTTATTTCTTAAAAAAACCCAAACAACTCATTGTACACGGTTAAAGACAACTTTTGTCAGAGAAGTTTTCTCCAAAAGGGACCTTCCTGAGCTCTCTTTCAGATCTTACCACATCAGGCATTGTCAGAGTGCAGTGCTAGCCAGTATGACCCTGTTAGCGTGGCTGGCGTGCTTTCCTCCAGTAGTCTAGCTTGTCAGCAGTCGCTGTTCAGCTTAAGGTGGGCGATTTGTATCTGAGGCTAACATAGGGAAGCTATATTTTAAATATCCTATGTTTCTTTTTATTCTTGAACAGCAGCACGAAGCCATCCTGGAGGGTTGTAACTTGGCACTTGCTGAGGAAGGCAGGTGTTGCTGATTCGCTTGAGAAGATTCGGGATTTGTCACTAGTTCAGGCAATGTGTTATGTTCATTTTGGGATACCCTAGACTGCCTGTTTAATAAGGAATGAACTTGAACTGTTTGGGATAGGATGTTTGTGCTGGTTCCTCTTTGTTCTCAGGGACAATATTCTCAAGAACCAGAACAGCTTAATCCAGTCTTACTTGGGGCAAAACTTCCATGTAAGTAAGAGACTCTGGGAGCTGGATGTTTTCACAGTGCATCGATGCTGAGCTCTGTGGGAGTTTCTCCTGATGTCCTGTGTGTGTTGGATCAAAAATATTGATGGTGTCTGGACAATGAAGATAGCTTTCACATAAGAGCCTCTGGTCTAGCAGTAATTGTTCTTTTTTTGGTATGCAGAAATTCATAAATTTCAGCTGAGTTGTCTGAAAAAGCATTTTGTCTTTCTCGCGCTGTAAGACCAAGTAAACAGATTAGGTGTATTTATTAGTTCAAACAGCTTGACTGAAATTGGAAATGTAAGATAGCTAGAAATGAACGGGGAGGGGAGGGGGGGTTTAGCTGGAGCTTGAGAAACAGTGATTTCTTTCTGGCTTTGTGTTCTCAGTTACTTCCAAATAAATCATATTAAGAAGATTATTTTAAATCAATGTCTATATCAATAATTTATTTGGAATTATTGAAGTAGTAGAAGCAATGCTTGTATTTCAACTGAACGCGCAGTTTCAGCATCGCTGGGGAGTGTCTGCCCTCTTTAGGTGGTTTCCCTTGAAGACTCAGGCAAGAAGGAATGCTTGTTGCCTGCGACAGCAGCTGATGCAAGTGGCTGAAGACTGGCTTTGGAATTCTCCTCTTTTAGTTCATTGCTGTTTGTTGGAGAAAGAGAATGTGGTTGAGTACTGGAAGAGGCTTTGCTGTCTTCACAGCTATAGCTATGGGTTCAGCCGCGGCTGGGCTGTAGCTGGAGTTCACTTGATTGCCAGGGAGCACAGGGGACACAAGCAGGGATGCCAGGAGCTGGCTCTGTGTGTGTGAGATTTCAATCTCTCCATGTCCCTGCAACCCAGTAAGAATTTTGGTTCTGATTTCTTTTTAAACTGCTGATCGCAAGAGTTGGTAGCCCCTTCCTGGGTCATGGACATGCTGTTTCTTGCTGACTTTAAATACCGACTCGGGGCGTGGTGTGACGGGCCTTTGGTCCAACACAGCCTGGCTGTTTTGCAGTCACGTTCTGGACTGTTGCCTGGAGGCTGAGCATCAGCACATCTGCGTGTAGCCGTGCTCTGTGCTGGAAAACCTCCTAAGGTTAGGAGGAATAACGATGGAACCTTAGGCGAAGGAAGCATGCAGTCTATGTATTTCAGCTCTGGTCATCACAAACGCTGGAATCTCCTTGCTTTAGTAACTGGAAGAGTCAAGTCAAACTATTGCTCTGAGCTATTCTTTCAGGACCTCTCTGTGCAACATGTATCTCAAAATATAATTTTTCTTTTATGTTAACACTTGCCTGGCCTGTCCTACGGTTATGTTAGATGGTCCTAAGACAGGCAAATAAGTTGCAAACGAGTGGGAATGTCTACATGTGCTGAGATACACTAACACAAATGTGTAAAATACTGTTCAGAGTGTAGGACAAATAATACACATAACATGAAGTAAATATTTGATTGTGTATGAGAATTAATTTCTTCAATAGGGCTCCCCATACCTTTGTAATTACTTCCATAACCATTTCAGCAATAAGGTTTTAGTGATGGATCTATAGGGAAGGTCTCATGGACATGTGTCTGTAGAGTCAGAATGTTTAAGTAACAAAATGCACACCGGAGTAACAAATGTTTGTATCTGCTCACTAGTTCGGGGAAAGGAACAAGGCCATATTGCTTGCCTGATTGCTTGGGACTAAGCAGTACTGCTGAAGTTCTTAAAACACTTGCAAACTGCCGGAGGAGTTAAAGGAATCGAATATTCATTTACTCAAGAAGATTGTTAGAGGTCCTTAAATATTCTTGGGCCAGGAAAAGGAGCTTCTGACAATTCTTTATTTTGAGCACATTTGCACAATGTAACATTTAACTCTGATTCGTTTCTCGCTTTTTTGAAGTTTGCCAGCTCAGTTCCGAGTCTTGGGGAAAAAGCAGCTTTTCCGTATAAGAAGATATCATCGATTGATCCAACATTTTGCTCTTTTTTCCTCAACTAAAGCTAATTTTTGTCTTTAATTTTTTTCTTTTTTGAGCATCAGCACCCCAGTCTGATGAAGGCTCTGACATCGATTCTGAACCAGATTTACCTTTAAAAAGAAAGCAGCGTCGTAGCAGGACAACCTTCACGGCAGAGCAACTGGAAGAGCTGGAAAGAGCTTTTGAGAGGACACACTACCCTGATATTTATACCCGGGAAGAACTTGCGCAAAGAGCCAAACTCACGGAGGCTCGTGTCCAGGTATGTATTTAAAAGGTGCCTAACAAAAGGAATTTCCTTTTCTGTTAGCATGTCGGGTCCTTTTATATTCTCACGTGATCCTACCCTGGGGTAGAAGGAAAATGTTTAAAGCCTTAGGGGTTTTTGCATCTGTACATGGACATTGGTTTTCCAATTGTTTAAGGCAACAACTGCTTTGAAAAAAGTTTTGTGTGTTCCCCAGTAATTGTTCTATACCTACCGTGAATATAATACTGAGCCTCTGGAGAAGAAGGTCCATTATCCCAGTTTGTTTATTTTATGCATTTGACAGCACTGTGCATATAATCAGGTCAGCTGTTGTGCTGGTTTATAGTTATTTAACTGATTTCATCTGTTGTTGTTTGGGTCTTTCAGGCATTAACAGAGGATAGAAAAACATTTTTAAAAGGGCAATGTGTCTATAGAGCCATGCAAGTAAGCAGGGTCACTGGTGCAGTATCTCTACAGTTTACTTTTAGGTTAGCTTTTGAAGTTGACTTGATTTAAACCTTGTAATAGGTCTCTTATCCCCACTGTCAGTTTAATTCAAAAGAAAATAAACCCACAAATAACCGTTAGGTCTTCACAATTTCATGTAGATCTGGATTGTCTAAAGCAAGATAACATGCTGGAGGAGTAAACCATGGAGTTGATTTAAATTAAAAAAAAAAAAAAAAAAAAAAAAAGCATGAACCTGGATTTTCAGATGTCCAAAAACGGGCAAATAGCAGCCAAATAATTCTGGAATAAAGTGCACCCCGGAGTTCAGGTTCAGACTAGGACTTACTCTGTTTCACGGTACAGAAGCACGTTCTATGAAATATTTAATACCGCAGGCAGAATCCTCTGCTGCTCTTTCACTACTTGACATCTAAGAGTTATTTGGAAAAGCATGCCCAGTTTAAATTGGTCCGAGTTGCAGATGTGCGGTTGGGTGACAAGTAAAATGTTGTAGCTTGTGATCTAACCAAGGAAGAGAAATGAGTGGTAACTTGTGATCTAATCAAGGATACAGGTGAATTTGGTTGCTTTGGTGAAACTCTTTTTTTTTTTTTTTTTTTTAAAGTTTTGACCTTTGAAGCTCAGCCCAAGGCATTCAGACTCTGCAAACTGAAATAAGCAATACAAAATATCCTCCTGACTTTTTAAGACAAGCATGCCTACTGCAGCATGGCTGTATTATTGAGTATCTGTCTTGAAAGGTCCAGCCTTTTTCAGTTTTACCTGCTAAATGCTTTTGCAGAAGACTTCATACCACATTTCTTGTAAGTGTTTGTTATGACTATGAGAGAAAATCAGATGTATGGATGAATTTGTCTGGAAGGCAAACTCAGTGGTGCATGACTCTTTTCTTAACGTGTACTAAGTGAAATGCTTGCAAAACAGCTTCATATATAGACTTGGGCCGGGTAAGACCAAATCAAGCCCTGGGAATCATCCACACACAAACATAATAAAGATAACTTCCTACACAAGTTCTGTTAGCAAGATGAACGGGATCTAGGATATGATGTTTTGGTCTATGTTAGCTTCGGTGGAAAAATACGATAAAATGAAAAAGACCTTGTTCGTGTTTTTCTAAATCAATGACCCACAGCTAGAAGAAAAGCAGAACTCTCATTAACATAACAGCTGTCTTAATGTGGCTTTAACCCTGTGACTTTTAACATTCCTTATGGCTTCCTTGGTTCCCTTGAGACACATCCTGTCTCACACCACTCCTATGATCTACAGTCTCACGAATTCCCAGTACCTCTGACATATGGATATTTTACCTAACCCAGCATGGAAGAAAGTTCCCAGTCAATCAATGATTAAAATACCAGAACAAAACCTTTCTGGATTAGAGATGAGCTAGGGTTGAAGTAGCCAGCCTGTGGGCAGTTTCCTAGTGCACTCCATCTGTCTGGTACCCTTGAAGCCTGGCAGAGTGATTTAGCAGTGGATTAAGGGATACAGGATTTGCCTTATCAGCATTCAGCACCTCTCTATAGCCCCCTAAAATAGCCACCTACGATGGGCGTGAAATAAAAGATGACCTGTGAAAAGAAAATAACCCTAAGAGACTTGAGGCTGAGGGGGCTGGATAGCCATACTGATGTAGCATTCAAGCTTTTTTAGTCACACTTCTTTTTTGGTAACAGTATGACAGAGATTGGAGATACCAAATTTCATATGGATATATACACAAAGATCTCTTTGCTTCCCGGTCAAGCATCATCTGAAAGAGTTAGCTCTTTGCAGCCCGAGTCTGGCTGAGCCCAGAAAATTATTTTCCTCTCTGGAGCTGTAAGGACTAATTTTGTAGAGTTGTTTTACATTGTCTAGGAAGTTATTTAATTGATTACAACTGGACTAACCTTGCTATTCCCTCAGTCCCTCCATGTAGCGCTTGCATCTCATGTTCTGTTTTTTCTGCCCTGCCGCCCCCGTGCTTCCCCTCTCCTTCTATTCCCCGAGGCGGTTTCTGAACACCCGTGAAAGGAAGAGTCTTAAACCGCCGAATCATCTATTTTCTCACTTTCCCACTGTTGAAGGGTAACCAAATGCATGTTTCTAAGCTGGTTGGTTGGAGGGGGGGGGGAAAGTCGCCTCTGGGCTGAGATCAAACTTAGAACATTTCAGTCCCTAAGGGGAATTTTTTGAAAGCTACAAGCAACTGAAAACAGACTTTACGCTGTGAATGTTATTTGTGTACTTAATCGTGGGGACAGGAAAGGCTTTTGGGGAAAGAAGTGTTGCAACAAACTCCACGTTGCAAGAGTCATGAGATGTGTAACTACAATCATTGCAAATCCTTCAGCACTGGGTGTAATAAGGAGTTAAAATGCTTCCTGCAATTCCTCCTGCACCGCCTTTCCACTCAAGGACCACTGAGTTTTTCTCCACTGTGTTTGAGCCTAGATGTCACGTAGAGCCAGGACAACCTCTTCAGCTGCCTTTTCCAAAGGCAGCGGGCTCTTTTTGCATGTTAGATGAATGGGAAATTTCTTTGGTCTTGTGTATTCATCAGATACGATTCAGAAACATAAGTAGAGTCCCAAAGGATGACCCTTTATTAAAAAAAAAAAGTAGTAATACCCTGGGAACGTGAATTTAGATTCACATATTGTGAGTAAAAATCACAACCATGCAGTGCTTTACTGGTCCAGTTTAAAACCTCATTAAAACCATCATTAAGTTGCAGTGCAGGCCCTTAAGGTCTGTGGCCTATTTTCACTGACTCGATCTGAAGGCGAATTCTAAAAGTGAAATTTTCCCCAGTGTAGGTAAAGATCAAAGGCTCTTTCTGAGCTTCAGAGCAGTGTGGTTATGGTTTCTGTAATAAATAGCGCATACAGAATGAAGTGGGTAGCATCTTTTCTGGCCACCTTTTGATTCCCACATCAGGCTTATTTTTAGACCTGGATGAACTGGACGAACTTTGGCAGCAGCTTGGAGCTCAGATTAACGGTGGGAGGTGTTTAATTCAATCTTTTGATAAAGGATTTTTAAATAAGGTTCAGGTTTGTCCTGTGGCAGGCGGAGGACCAGGAGCCTGCCTTGGCCGATGGGGACTGGCCAGTCAGACAAATCCTTTTGGGCTGTGTGTTGGAGGCAGGCCTCCCAAATTATCAGAAACATGATGTGTGAGACTTGCGTGTTGGACCATGTTGAGGATGTGCCCCCAGCTGAATGGGATCGTGCGGGGCAGGAGGTCCTGCCATGAGAAGCGGCTGGCACACGGCCTTCCTGCTTAACCCCAAAAGGCAATGGGAGAAATTTGTTTGGGCTGTCTTAGTCTATGAATAATGGTGAAAAAGCAGGGGAAGTTGGGAAGAATTCTGAAACATGAGTATGTCCTGTCCTGAAAAGATTCTTCTCGGCCAAATCCCAGGTTTAAATCTGTTTGCTTGAAAACTTCCAAAAAGAAAAATATTGTTTAACAAAAGAGCATGTCTGAAAATTCAAGCAGATCTCTCCAGGCTACTAGGATGGGGTTGAATGTTCCCATGTCAAACTTGTGATCAGCCTGTAAGCTTTTTAAAAAGCTTATTATAGCCTCAGCAAATAAAAGAAGTCCCAAGAGCTTTGAAACCTTGAGTAGCCAGAAGAAAAATGATAATTTTTTTTTTTTCAAGTGTTGTGCTTCCATACTGTTTTCTTTGTTTCACTGTGGTACAGAGAGGGGAAGAGATGTTTGGAGAAGAAGATAGTGGGGGGGGGAAAGGTGAAAGAAGAAATGATGACTGTTAAGCTAGTAGTAAGGTTTGAAAGCTCTGAACACCAATCTCTCCGCTTTAATAGTCTCTTCTCAGTAGCAAACAGTGAAAAGCATTCACTGGGAAATCATGGGGAAGGGAAGACCTTTGCCAAAAAAAAGTCTTCATTTGCCCTCAGCTCCTCTGAAACGGTTTGAGCTTGTACGCTGAGCTGCACAGTCCTATAGGGAGATGGGGTAAAGGAATGCGGGACAGATTCAGGAACATTTAAGACCTTTCGGTGGATCTTTACAGTTATTCCTGATGTGGTTTATGGAGAATTTATAGTGCCTTTTTTTAAGGCTGTCCCTCTTGCATCATATACAGGATAAGGAAAGAAAATGCTGTGTGCATTCGTGTAGTAGATAACCCTGTAATTGCAAGTTTTTTTTTCCCCTGGGGTAAAGGAGAAATTCTTATGGGTAAATTAGCCAACTACAAACATATGCAGGCCCAAGAAGACATTTTTAAATATAAAGGAAAAGGGATGTGATTTTGATTCTCTTTTTCTCGTCCCTGCTGCCTAAGGCTCAAATTAGTGGTGCTTTAATTTATAAATACAGAGTTCAATTTGCTTATTACTCAATATTTTGCAGAACTATTCAGCTGCAGTGTTTTTGTGTAGGACTGAGTCAAAGTCTTTTCAAAGAAACCTATGAGAGTTGAGTATGTTGGATCGCACTGGGAGGTGGTTGGAAGTCTTCATTCCCTTTGGCACAGCCTAGTGTTTTTTTGGTCTGTGTTTTTTCTTTTTTTTTT